CACTCGTGGGCTTTTCACGTTCTCTGATGATGACGTGCCCCCTCCTGCCTCGCACTCCCATTGTGACATCCCCGACGGTGCAGGAGCCGATTTGAATATGCAGCCTGAGGATCTCGCGGCGCTCGCAGGAGACGTTGTGGAGTTGGAGATGGCGTCGGACGGGAGCTGCACGAAGCAGGCCCTTCGCTGTCTCCACCGCGCTTCGTGGGCGATCGCGCTCATGTAACCAGGCAGCGAGTGTCTCTTGGCCATCCTCAGGGGTATTGTGCCTGGTGGTCTCCCCCAAACCCCTGCGATGGCGGAACATGCGGGGGCGGCCCTAGTCGGGCAGGTCGCAGATCGTCCCACTTCCCTGGCCCTGGGTTGTAAAGCTGTGATTTGTCAGACCCAGAGGCCCCTGTGGAAGCAATTTGCTGGCTCCAATGAATATGCTGGTGCGAGGCGGTTTGCCCATGAGCTAGCAGGCGCGGAGTTCTTGTCGACCTTCCATGTAAAGGCCCATCATGAGTTGTCTGCTCTCGAGGAGTTGGAAGGCGACGATCGCAGGTTTGGTTTCGCGAATCTTGCTGTGGACGAGCACGCAAAGAAGGGTCTTGAGGGCCACCCGCGGCCCCTGCCCACGTTTTCGGACCATGCTGATTTGTAGCAGAAGCGAGCTGATGCGTTCATACAGCTTGCTGCTGGAGTTCTAACCCCTCTTTAAAAACGAAGTGCGTTGGAAGAGGGCCGCTTTCACCACCCAGGGGAGAAGCCGCCAGCAGAAGACTTGGCATCTCTGGAGGAGAACCGAACTTGGGATGCAATGTAGGTATTGTTGGACGGTGTGTGATCGACCCGACAGGCCCATGTTCGGTTGCAGGGGTCCGCCTCCTGCTCTCCAGAAGCTGCTGCGAGATCCCCTGGGGCATCAGCTCGTCGCTGTGTCGGGCTCGGCTCTTGAGGTTCCGCGGTCGGAGGCTGTCCTGGGGCCCTGTCGAGAGCAGCAGATTCAGTGTTTAAAATGCGGGGGTTGGTCTCAAGGGAGAGCCGTGAAGCTCGCTGAGGTCTGTGGTAAGCCTACGCGTAAGGGACTGGATGTCCTCAGCCGTTTTAGGCGGGGGCTTGGCCCAAACCCAAAGATTCGAGAAATGCTGGAAAAGGCGTTGCCTGTAGCACGCTTAGTTGTTGCTCGTGATACGGACGATAAGCCCGAGCTGTGTGTTACCTCAGTCCCGCGAGCGTTTTCGGACCCTCCCTCGGCCCCCTCGTACGAGCAACGTATGGCGGCTCTTGCTGCCAGAATTAAAGCTAAAGAAGAAGCAAGGGCCTCAGGGGCGGTTTAACTCGGGTCGATCCCCCAATTCTTTTGGTGCTGTCACCTCTCGACCTTTCAAGGCGCTGTCCATCCATCCATCCATCCTCCTCCTGCTCCTCCTCCTCCTCCACCTCCTCCTCCTCCTGGTCGTCGTATTCGCCCTCATCGTCTTCCGTTTCCTATTCCTCAACTTCCTCGTCGTCGTCGTCGTCCTCCTCCTCCTCCTCCTCCTCCTCCTCGTCCACCTCCTTCTCCTCCTCCTCCTCCTCCTCCTCCTCCTCCTCCTCCGGGGGTTCGTGCCAAGAGACACCCTGCTGGCATCCAGGGTGCCCTATGGTTCTCGGGTTTCGATGGTTTTGCCATGGAAGGCGTGACGTTCCCACCCCAAAGATCAGTGGACGTCCTGGCCTGGCCTCCTCTGTAGAAGTGCCCTGGCCCAAGGTCACCCCAGGATTTCCAATCAAAGGGGAACAAAAACACCTGGACCCGACAATTGGCGTTTGCCAGACGGCCCCTGGCGTTTTTATTAAGCAGCCCCCTCTGTGGGTGCGTTTACCAGACGGCTTCGCGTGTCGGGATGGATTTTTTGCCCTCTATCCAAGGAGGCCTCCGCGGCCTCCAGAGCATCCCTCACGAGGCCCAGAGGGCCCCAGGGGCTCCAGAATGGAATGCCAAGCTGGGGGCACCTGGGGCCAGGGACCCCTTCAGCGGCCCCCGAGAGCGAAGGTGCCCAGATCTCCGAAGATGCGCTTCTTTACCCATCGAGGTTCGAGGTTCCCTCTTTGGAGGCTTTTGCTCGTCCTCGGGCGGCCTTCCGGCCACGGCTGTATCCGCCTCGAACCTCTTGGCAGAACGCACCGCAGGAGACGTCCAGGGATTGATCTTCAGCTCCCAAGGAGGTGGAAGAGCCCAGATCTCCGACGACTGCGCTGCGCACGGCCTCGAAGTTTTTCCCAGCGTGCTCGTCGGCTCCTGTCGGTTTTCTCTCGCCTCGGCTCGCTTCCGAGCAGCTGCGCCTCGCCGAGAGCTTCGCTCCGAAGGGCCAAAACAACAACGGGCCCTCGCCTGCTGGGAAGGCTGCAGCCTGCGCGCCGACCGCCTCCTGGCTGGCCTCGGCAGGCTCTCCGAGAAGAACTTGCTGAACATGCCCCCCTCCCCCTCCCCCTCCTCCTCAATCAACCTCCTTCTCCTCCTCCTTCTCCTCCTCCTCCTCCTTCTCCTCCTCCTCCTCCTCCTCCTCCTCCTCCTCCTCCTCCCCTCCTCCTCCTCGGAGCGTACCCACTCCCGGCCGAGTCAGGAAGGTGCAGGCCCTGGGCCCAGGATCGGCCTGGCCGAGAGCGGCGCAGGACCATCGCAGGACCAGAGCTCTGGAGGCCAGGCTGGGACAAGTCGTGGGGCTTGTTGAGGCCAGCCGAGATTACGCAGCCCGAAGCCTTGGACGTCGAACCTGGCATATTCGACCACTCCTGCACCGTGCATGCATGGTGGCTGGTACGTACGTGTACCTGTAGGACCACCCTACGGGTGATAGGGAGGTTGGGGGGTGGGGCGGCTTGCTGTTGAATAGTTTGCACCCGCAACGCACGGGACATCCACGTCACCACCACGGGGCAACCATCGGGACAACCCTCATGACAACAACGGTACAACCGCGGGACAATGGTGGGACAAGCACTGGTTACGATCGGGACAGCCATCAGAAAACCATCGGGATAATCATCGGGACAACCATCATGACAACCATTGGGATAATCATCCATTGGGACAAGCATTGGAACAAAACCTTCGGGACACGCAGAGAGGCAAGCATCGGGAATCAGGACAAGCATCGGGTTAATCTTCGGGACAACTATCGGGACAACCAGCGGGACAATCATCGAGACAATCATCGGGACGAGCATCGTGTCAGCCATCGGGACAGGCATCGGAACAGGTATCGGGAGAACCACGAGATGACCATCGGGGCCAGCATCGGGACAAGGCACCATCGGGACGAGCATCGGGACATCCAGCAGGATATCCATCGGGACAACCGCGGGACAACCGCGGGTCACGCCCTGGTGCACGGGGGCCCGGCCCATCTTTTGCGAGACCCGGGTCTAGCCAGTGTAGGAAGGAGTTCGCGCTGCCTCGCCTCGCCCGCACGCACGACTCGAGCCGAGTCCCGAACAGGCTCCCTGGTTGGGCGATAGCGTTTCATGTCGGTCTCAGCCCATGTACCTATGTGTGTGTATTGGATCTATGGATTTATGTGTGTACCCATGTACATATGCTTTATATATATATATATATATGGATTTGTCTAAGAGGGCGAGTGCGTCAAAATGCACCGACAATGTCGAAGCAACGTGCAGCCCGAGCCGAGCCAGAAGTCCGTGCTCTGGTCCCCGCCGGTGCACGCGTTTTCCTTTGCCCACCAGAGGACATCCTTTTCTGAGGATGCAATCCCTGGGAGCTTGAATTCAGAATCGGCGCTGGTATATCCTTGGCTTGAAAAAGTTGCCTAATTCGGGCAAGCCCCCGTCAGTCCGGCCTCATCCCGCTCAACCTGGCCGAGTCCAGCCTGATCTTGCTCACTCCCAGGCTTCATCTGGCCTGATCTGGTTCTTTGACCCCTTGATCGGGCTTGCTAGCCCTTACTCGTTTCATCCGGTCGAGTCCCGCCTAATCTTGCTCAATCCCAGGCTTCATCCGACCTGATCTGGTCTTCAATCCCTTAATCGGGTCTTGCTAGCCGCTACAGTGGAGGCCCATGCCAAGCAACACCCTGCTTGTCCCCAGGGTGCCCTGGGCTTCCTGGGTGTCGATGGCTTTGCTGCGGAAGGCGTGACGCTCCCACACCAGAAATCAGTGGACGTCCTGGGGTCTCGGGGTCGGGTTTCTTGTGGCAGGTTTCTTGTGGACTGGCCTCCACTGTAGAAGTGCCCTGGCCCAAGGTGTCCCCAGGATTTCCAATCAAGGGAGAAAAAAAACCACCCGGACCCGACAATTGGCGTCTGCCAGACGGCCCTGGGCGTTTTCATGAAGCAGCCCTGCCCTGTTCGATTCCTTCTCTGGGTGCGTTGTTTCTTGTGGTCGGGCCCCTCCTGTACACGCCGGTCGTTGAAAGTAGGTATCTTTGGATTCCCAGATCCCAGTCCCTACTTCAAGGACCGACATACTTTTGCTGTGTTTTGTCATCCTCTGTGTTTTGCTGTGTTTTGCTGGTACATCATTCTTCGAGACAACGACGTTCACCATCTACGAGAAGATTTCGAGCACGCGCACTGAGCGCTGCGGCGCTACACGCCCATCCCCGTAGTTGGGACAGCTCTCGCTGTAGTGGCGTTCGTTCGTTCGTTCGTTCTGGGAGGGCCTGGACCCAATCCACCATGTCCGCCTTCCTACTTCATGTCTCTACCTACCTCTTCCGACCGACGTGTCATCGTTTTAGCGGCAGCCTCCCAGATGCTTCCCCCCTCTCACCACCCACCAAACCACCCCAACCCAACCCGGAGGCCTCAATTTGCCCTCCATTTCCAGTGGGGGGGGGTCGAGGAACGTTGAAAAAGCACATGGAACCCGTACCCCCCCCAACCCGAAATTCAGGTCAAATTCGGGTCTTCGGGTTGGGTTGGGGTGGTCTGGTAGGTAGTCACCCTCTGCCCGGCGTCCGAGGGAGAGGCCGCCGCGCGGCGGCGCCCCCGGGGTGCGGCCGCAGGAGCCGATGCACCTGCTGCGCGTGCGCAGCAGCGTGGACTCGCTCCAGGCTGGCGCGGGGCCCGCCGGAGCGCCCGCGTCGTCGTCGACGTTTTCGTCGTCGTCGTCGTCGTCGTCGTCGTCGTCGTCGTCGTCGTCGTCGTCGTCGTCGTTGTTTTCGTCGACGTTTTCGTCGTCGTTTTCGGCGTCGTCGTCGTTGTTTTCGTCGACGTTTTCGTCGTCGTCGTCGTCGTCGTCGTCGTCGTCGTCGTCGTCGTCGTCGTCGTTCTGGGATCGCGCGAGAGAACACGCGGGACTGGGCGAAGGTCTCGGCCAGGCAGAGTGGCGAGCAGAGCCCGAGCAGGGTCAGCAAGAGGGGCTGCAGCCAGGCACGTCGGAGTTCGCGAGGCGCTACGGCAAGCAGAAGGAGATGCAGAAGCGGCTCTGAGTCCGCGCTGTTTTGTGCGGTGGAGCACTGGCCCAGCCTGGGCCCCTGGTGGCGCAGCCCCTTGGTCCCCCCAAAAAAGTCGTAGTCGTGATCGCGATCGTGGTCGTAGTCGTGGCCGTGGTGGTGATAGTCGTCTTGGTCGCTGGCCGTCTCGCACTTCCGTCCTCGTCGTGGTTGTCGTCGTGGGGTCGGCGTCGTGGTCGTCGTTGTGGTCGTCGTCGTTGTCGTCGTCTTGGTCGTCTTGGTCGTCGTCGTGGCGGTAGTCGTCGCGGGCGTCGTGGCCGTGGTGGTCTTAGCGGTTGTGGTGGTCGTCTTGGTTATGGTCGTGGTGGCGGTAGTTGTCGTCGTTGTAGTCGCCGTCATCGTCGTCTTCGTCGTGGTCGTGGTTGTTGTCGTGTTCGTGGCGGTGGTCGTCTTCTGGCCGAGGTGGAGGAGTAGATGCAGGGCCCCATGGGGAAGAGGATAAAGAGGAAGGGAAGGCGTGACGGGGAAATCAGTGCGCCCCTCACTTTCCATGCGTTTTCGGATCTAGACCTCTGGCGGCTTCAAACAACTCATGTGAGAAATGTTTTGCATTTCTTGACGCTTCGCTTCGCGAGGCGTGCAAACCAATCGTTACATCGAAACCAGAAATCAGCCTGCGCGTACCCGGGAGTGGAATTCTTAAGCTTGCTGGCGAAGGAGGAGGCAGAGGGGAACATGTATATTAATGAGGAGGAGGACGATGGGGGAGGAGGAGGAGGAGGAGGAGGAGGAGGAGGAGGAGGAGGAGGAGGAGGAGGAGGAGGAGGGAGGAGGAGGAGGAGGAGGAGGAGAGGAGGAGGAGGAGGAGGAGGAGGGAGGAGGAAACAACAAAAGCAGAGGATGATGATGATGAGGAGGAAAACGAGAAGGTGGCAAAGGAGGAGGAGGAGGAGGAGGAGGAGGAGGAGGAGGTGGAGGAGGAGGAGGAGGAGGAGGAGGAGGAGGAGGAGGAGGAGGAGGAAGGGGGGTTCGGTTCGGTCCTTCCCGAAAGCGCGAGTCGCAGCTCGCAGCTGCCAGGTGGGTGCCGCCCCCACGGGAAGCGACAGCCGAGATGAGCCTCTAAGGGCACGGCGTTCGGGTTGCAGGCAAACTCAATTCTTGACGCTTCGCGTATCCCCAACAGCCCATCCAGAAACGATGCCCAGGCAAGTTGAAAAGATCAGGGAAGTGGGGGAGCAACGAGAGGGACAGTCGATCCGTGCAGAGGATGAGGCGGAACAGGAGACCAGATGGATAGATGAGGGGGTGGCGAGGAACCGAGCGAAGGAGGAATGAGGAGAATGATGACGCTGGGTGGATGGTTGAATGCCGCTCGGATGCCTCTTGGAAGCCTTTTGGAAACCTCTTCGGGCGTCTTGGGGGTCTCTTGGCGGTCAATGGGGGATCTTGGGCGTCTTGGGTGCTTCGGGGGGGCTTCTTGAGGCCGCTTGGGATCCTCTTGGGGGGCTCTTGGGGGCCTGTTGGAGGCCTCTTGGGGCCTCTTGGGGGTCTCTTGGAGCTTCATGGCGGCCTCTTGGAGCCTCTTGGGGGCCTCTTGGAACCATCCTGGGGGCCTCTTGGAGCCTCTTGGGGGCTTCTTGGGGCCTCATGGCGGCCTCGTGGGGCCTCTTGGAGGCCTCTTGGAAGCCTCTTGAGGCCTCCAGGGCGCCCTTTGGGGCCATCTTGGAAGCGATCGATCAAAGAAAAGCAGAACTTTAATTAGCGTTGCCCCTCCAGACTGTCTAAAATCGCTTCCTGGACCCCTCTTGGATCGCTCTTGGGGCGCTCTTGGACGCTGTTGAGGCAGTCTTGAGGCTCTCTTGGGCCCCTGTTGGGGCCCAGTTGGGACATCTTGGCGCCATCTTGAGGCCTCGGATGGGCTTCGGGAGCGAAAGAGTGAAAACACCAAACACATTGATTTTCCATAGGGTTTTGAAGCATTGCGGCCTTTTGGGGGCACTCTAATGATGCTTTTGTGGGCACTTGGAACCATCTTGGAGCGGTCTTGGAACGTGTTGGAGCGTCTTCTGAACCATCTTCAGGCATCCTGCGCTATCTTGAGCCATCTTGGAGGCGATCTTGGGCTCTCTGAGGCCTTCTTGGAGCCGTCCTGGGCCATCTTGGGCGCTGTGACCGCTCCCCGCCCCTCCTGTCCAGGTCAGTGGGGAGGGGGTAGGGGGAGGGGTAAACCCCTCCCCGAAGGGGAAGAGGGATGGGGTGGAAGAGGAAACGCCGTAAACCACCGACGCCCAGAGGGCTGGTGGGATTTTTCATGAAGTATGAACAAACACAAATGTGGCCACACTAGCGCCATGCAGAGAGCTTGACTGGTACTCTGCGGGCCGAACATCCAATGGCCCAAAGTCAGTCCAAACGGCGCTCTCGCTTCGGCGCGGGCAGCACACTTGTAACGCCATCTGCATGTCGTGGCTAGTTTAACAGCGAAGCGTGAGGGTGTCTCAGCAAAAACCGTTTTTTCGGTTCAGGAGGGGGGGCTGGACGACATGGGCGAATCAAATGCATGTTTGACCACAGTCAAAACCGCAACGATGTCCGAACATGTTCGGCCAGGTTGCCGCCAGCTTCCGTCGAACGCGAGCGGAGCAATGGTCCGACGGTCATAGTGGATTCTTCTGCAGGCACTTGTGCGTCTCGTGGTGGACGTCGTGGGGATTATTCCCCATCTTATACGTAGCGTTCTCTGGTTATCCGTTTCGCGCTTCCGCCTGCTCACTCCTGCCTCTTCCCTTCTTCACGATTCGAATTGTCGCGATGTGACAGGCATAACACTTGGGCAACACAAGGGGGTGCCGCCAGGGGACGGGCCACTTGCCACTTCGTGCCCATATTGGTGGGATGTATCCAGCGGTTCGCTTGCAGTTATAGCTCTGTGGCACCACAAGGGGGAGCGACCACGGGCTAGGACACTTGCCCTTGGCGCCCAACAAGTGGGAATCTCTCACGCGAAACGCGGGCTTTTTGACATGATCGTTTTTTTTTTGGGGGGGGGGGCCCCTCTTCAGGGCCCTTGCGTAGCAGGCGAATCATATGGGCATGCCAACGAGGGAGGGGCGCTAGCGGGTAAGGGAACTTGCCCGTTGGCGCCCGAATTGTGGGGACGTCTCAAACGAGCAGCTGGCTTTACACGTTTTTTTTTTTTTTTTTTTTTTTTTTTTTTTTTTTTTTTTTTTTTTTTTTTTTTTTTTTTTTTTTTTTTTTTATATATATATATATATATATATATATATATATATATATATATATATATATATATATATATATAATATATATCTCTCTCTATCTACCAATATTATTATTATTATTATTGTGATGATTATTATAATTATATATATATATATATGTTCCTTAGCTTGCGGGATAATCCATGTATGTTCGGCGGGAGCGCCGTGGTTCGCACAGTCATCAGGTGAATTGTAATTCTGTTGATTCTGTGTCCGTAGTCCGACTTGTTTTTGCTCAAGCTGCTTTCTTGTCAGTCTAAGGGCCTCCCAAGACCTTTCCATGTGGCCGTCGCCACGCTATGGGGGTTCACGATGGGATCAGAGAGACAGTCTCGGCGGCACGCCATGCAGCCCGTTCATGTGGATGTGGAGGATAACGACACTGGTGTTGGTAGCCTCTCGTGTGACACTCTGCTGCGCCTCTCAGGAAACGGATCTGTCGTGCAGACGTACATCGATGACCACACACACGGCCGTCTCCCATCCCAGCTCTGCGCGTGGATCAACCTCTTTTGCGTCCCGCAGAGCGCCGGCTGTACCTCATTGGCCGTCGGTGCTTGGTGCTGCGATGACGTATGTCGGAGGATCGGTTCCGCTGATGGGGCGGCCCGCGGTGCCTCCGCCAAGGCAGAGGCGAGCTCCTCCTACGGGGCCCCCATTGCAGATGCGCCTGGACGGGTGGCCGCAGCCGGCAAGTGCTGGGCCGCGCAGTTGGCGTCGCCTGGTGATCGAAGTCGTGGGGGGGGCATTTGTACACGAACGTTTGGTGATTAGGGCCGATCCGAACGACGGCTCAGCCTGGGCTGCGGCGCCTGATCGGGATGGGCATAAGGAGGACTACCGTTACGATCCCGACATCGTCGAGTTTACCTTCTTGGATGGTGCACGCGGCAACATGAAGATCTCAGACGAGGCTGCGATCGCACCCACGGGCCCGTTCGCTAGCGTGACGGCGGTGTCGGCCTGTACGCTGCCGTCGGGGATCACCGTGGCTGTCTTCTTGGAGTGTGTGTCGATGCAGAAGTCTGCCAGCTTCAGGGATGACAGGATTGATCTCTACGCGTCGGAGGTGAGTGAACGTCGCACTATGAAGCCTCGTTTCGAGCATGGCGCCTGCAGTCGTACCTTCAATGGTGGTGCTTTGAAGTTGTTCGAGGAGCCTGAGGTCGATGGCCTCACGAAGGGTCCTCGCATCACGCTTGGCACCGCACAGACTCCGAGTTCTCTGGGGTCGATCTGTCAGACACAGGCTCGAGAGTGCCCCGTGGCGACTCGCATTCCTCCTGAGGAAAGGTCGGTGCACGAGTACAAGCTGGTTCGCGAGGTTCTGAGGGCGTTGCAGCGCATCGATCGGTGTAACCTGCCGAACACGATAGG